CTAATATTCTTACTTGTCGGGGTGTACGGCAGGCATTTCCTAGTCGGTGCAGGGTCTTGTTTCGCGGAGTCTCCATTTGTCTCGGCGATTTTCCCTGGTGCCGGCCGGTCATGACGTTTTCAATTCGAGCCATCATATTCTCCTTTTTTTGCCCTCTCCTAAGTTGTCAAGTTGTCTGTTTTCTACTTCGGGGGTGCCGCACTGTTCTTCCACTTCAGCTCCGCACGTGCTTTCTCCATTTTCCAACATGCCAAGAAATGACGTCCTATAGCGCCGCAAAATTCGCACGGCTCATTTTTTGCTAGCCGCTGCGTCGCATCGTCCTTGTCGTTCTCCATCGGGTCGGTAGTCGTGGGTGGTGCCAATTGCTCCATGCCACTATTTGGCTTGTTGCGTCGTGTCCCGTAGTAGTTACTGTTCAACGCGTCGAATTGTTCGATCAGTGCTGCACGAAACTACGCCTACGTCCCTTTGCCTTGGACTATACTGTTGTTGATCAACTCTAGAGCTGGGTATTGTAACAGTGTTGCTGTGAGCCGTATGCGCATTGCGTCTTGGTTGAGGGTAGTGCATCCAGCGACTCCGAAGAGCTTTTCTAGTACAGCTACAAATCGACGGACGTCGCTCCCTTTTGTGCTAGGGTCGAACGCCTCTGGTTGCCTCGGCTTCACTGCTTAGAGATTAACTGTAGCTGCTGCGGTTGTCGCATATATAATTTTCGGTGTCGCCGTCATCGCTGCTGCTGCAGCTATCGATTGGTTCGCAAGAAGTTTTTCGAGTCCTAGGAGTGCCGCACATATCTGCTTATGCTCGGCACGTAACTCTATTTTTCATACAAAATTATCTCTATTTCCCTTCATTTGGCGATTTGCAGGAAGATGTGCGATGAAAATAAATGAATTCTAGGTGCTGGTCGACTAACTGCGAGTCGAGTTGACTATAAAATTGCAAGTGCAAATTCTGTAGGTGGCCTCAATCTCCTTGAGTCAAAATTTGCGTTCGATCTCGGCCGTTGAGGATAAAATTGATGCGACGCTCGAAACTTTTTTGGGCAAAAACTTTTTTGGCTGTTGAGATTCAAGTCGATCGAACGGTCGAAATTCCTAACTTTTCACCAATAAATCTAAGGGATGTTCGAAAACAAAATCGAGGGGGGCTTAGAAAAATTGCGCGGAACCGGCTTTACATACTTGTATCGGCGCTTTCGTTGTCGCCTCCGCAGTTTTTAAAGGCCGGAACTAAACGGTTGAGACCTCGCGTGTAAACCCGCTCTGATTACCAAGTGTGAGGATCTGGTTCAGGAAAGATAAATCTATTAAATGTTTCACCTAGGTACAAGGCGAGCCTATATGTAGGCTCGACACAAAGGCACAGACATGGGTGTTACTAGAAGGTTCCGCGAGTCGCGAAGCGTCCCGAACGGGTCCTTCCTGAACCTAGGAAATCAAGCAAAAGCATGCAAGATATAATAAAGCCAAGGTAGATAATGCGAAAAAAAGTAGAATGTAGCAAGTAAGCTTAGCAAAGCCGCCGTACTCTCACACCTAGTGCCTACTCGCCGCCCTGCCTTACCTCCGTGCTGCCCTACTGGTCGCGCACCTCCTAGCTTGCCCGCTATGACCTCTCTTCATAGTAGCGGTGGGAGTGGTGATGGCGGTGGTGGTAGCAATGGGAGTGGTGGCAGCCGTAGTAGCAGTCAATGTGGAGTTGTTCGGTGGGGAGTTTCTAGCGGTGGCCAGATGCAGCTACAGTGGCGTCTATGCGAGACCCTTTCGCCCCAGCAGCTACGTGAGTGGTACGCTAGTAGGAGTGGTGGCGGCGGCGGTAGTGGCAGCCGCTGTGCAGCTGTTCAGTTGGGAGTTTCTAGCGATGGCCTGGTGCACCTGCAGCGGCGTCCGCGCGAGACCCTTACGCCCCAGCAGCTTCGTGAGTGGTACGCTCAGCGTGGGGCGTCTCAAAGTAGTGCTCGCTGCACGTACGTTATTCGCACAAGTGATCGGGCTGGTCAGACTTACGAGACACTTGGTCACACACAGTCGCGCTGCTTCTCCTGCCTGAGCGACACCTGGCGCGCAGAGTTTGGCGACGCGGCTCAGCTTCCCCGCTGGCTAGAGCTGCTTAGGCAGGGTGTGGATATCTTTGCTCTAGACTATGACGCTATCCTCACTGCCATGTATGCTTTGACTATTGGTACTGAGGGTGACTGTTACGTGTGTGTGCCGCCCGACCCTGGTATAGAGGCTACTGCCCTAGGTGCTGGTAAGTCTGCTCTCTCTCTCGTACTGCGCTGACTGAGGCCTTGCACACCTATACGCTTGACTCAAGTGCTTCCCGCTGTTTCTTTTGCGACAACACCACAGTCACACCACTCGCAGCATCGGTTGCAGTATCTCTAGTTGACCCCTCTGGGGGACCAGTTCTTGCATGTTCCTCCACTGTTCTTCCTTGTCTAGCGGTCCCGTCTTGCTCACTCTCAGGTCTTCAACTCCCCTCGTTCTCTACGAACTTGGTGAGTAACGCTGTCCTTCAGGATGCTTGGGTTGATACCTTGACCCCTGGGGGACAGCGTGTGGCGATCTGCACGTGTCCACAAACGGGCCGTCACCTCTCCACGTTCACCCGTCAGCCTGGGTCGAGCATGTACACACTGACTACTAAGCCTCCTCAGGTAGCTGCGTTCGTGTCCGCGTCAGGTCAGCAAGCAGCCCCCTGTTCGTGTCGCCTCCTGTCGCACCAGACTCTCCTCTAGCACCATCGCCATGGTCACCCCTCCCTGCCACGCCTCAGTGGCATGCACTCTCGCCTCCTTGACTCTGGTCTTCCCAGGTCCCTGCCTCCCCTCCCACCCTCACTTGCCCCTCCCTACCTTCCCTATGTTGAGCGACGGCAGTGCGCCGCTCCTCACTCCTCCTCGTTCCCCCCAACGACTACTCCCCTGCAGACTCTCCACATGGACGTCTGGGGCCCAACCTGCATCCAGGGACAGGGCTGCGAGTGATAATTCCTGCTGGTTGTTGACGACTATTTGCGTTACACCGTGGTCTTCCCCTTGCACAGCAAGGAGGAGGTCCCCGATGTCTTGATCCCTTGGATCCACGCTGTTCATCTCCAGCTCCGCGAGCGGTTCCACATGGACCTTCCTGTCCTGCATCTGCACTCGGACAGAGGTGGTGAGTTTTCCTCCAACCTCTTGTAGGACTTTTGTCGTGGGGAGGGCATCCTCTAGCCGTTTACGCTTCCGTCCTCTTCGCAGCATAATAGGATTGCTGAGCGCCGTATTGGCCTAGTCATGGAGGTTGCTCGTACCTCCATGATTCATGTGGCTGCTCCCCATTTTCTGTGGTCGTTTGCGGTCCAATACACAGCGCATCAGCTCAACCTCTGGCCCCATGTCTCCTTGCCGGAGACCTCACCTACACTGCGTTGGACAGGAGAGGTTGGCGATGCGTCAGTATTTCAGGTCTGGGGCTGTCGTACCTTTGTTCGTGATACCTCCAAAGACAAGCTCTCCTCCCTCGCCATTCCTTGCATCTTCCTTGGCTTTCCCCCTGACGCGCCTGGCTGGCAGTTTTACCACCCCACCTCGCGACGTGTCCTGCCCTCTTAGGACGTCGTGTTCAACGAGTCGGTTCCCTTTTACCGTCTCTTCCCCTACCGCACTGCCCCTCTCCCCCCCCCCCCCCCGCCGCTCTTCCTCACTCCAGGCCCCCCTCCGGTAGACCCACTACCCCCTCACAGTCCTGCTCCTTCAGGTGTGTCTCAGGTAGACCCACTCCCCTTGGTTGAGCGTGTCGAGGTCACTAGTGACTCTGGTGCTGCTTGGGGTGCTACGTCAGGGGGTGCTGAGCCTGCGGTTGCGGAGCCTGAGCGTGCGGAGCCTGGAGGTGCTGAGCTTGCGAGTGCGGAGCCCGGGTGTGCTGAGCCTGAGCGTGCGGAGCCTAGAGGTGCTGAGCCTACGGGTTTGGAGCCTTTGTCAGGCATATATGCTATAGTCTGTGTAGGATGTAGAGGGGCAGTTCATATGGGGTACAACACTTTAGGGTTTACTACTTGTACTCCTCATTCTGCTCAATGCATTCATTCTCGTTTCTTATCATGGAATCGAGCAGGTTTTCTAGTGGGAACGCTACCCAGGGCCCACCACGATATTTTTTTTTCCTGCCCGGAGCGCGTTTCACTCCTGCCCAAGTCGCGCTCTGTGTGCCCTCCCTACCTTCGAGCCGCCCTTAGTGGCCCCTCTAACGGCCCCTTTGGCCGCCCTTACGGCCCCTCGCGCCGCCCTCTACGGCCCCTCGCGCCGCCCTTACGGCCCCTTACGGCCCCTCGCGCTGCCCTTACGGCCCCTTACGGCCCCTCACGCCGCCCTTACGGCCCTCGCGCGGCCCCCTTTCGGCCCCTCGCGGCCCCCTTTCCGACCCCTTACGGCCCCGTCGCCGCCCCGTTTAGGCCCCTTGCGGCCCCTCTTCGGCCCCGTCTAGGCCCCTTGCGGCCCCCTCTGCGGCCCCGTCTAGGCCCACTGCGGCCCCTCTGAGACCCCGTCGTCGCCACCTGCAGCCCCGTCGCCGCCACCTGCGGCCCCATCGCCGTCACCTGCGGCCCCGTCGCCGCCACCTACGGCCCCGTCGCCGCCACCTGCGGCCCCGTCGCCGTCACCTGCGGCCCCGTCGCCCTCCCCTAGCGGCCCTGTAACCGCTCAGCCGCCCAGCGACCGAGCCGCCGAGCAGCCCAGCAGCCGAGCCGCCCACCTGCCGAGCAGCCGAGCCGCCCAGCAGGCGAGCCGCCCAGCAGCCGAGCCGCCCAGCAGCCGAGCCGCCCAGCAGCCGAGCCGCCCAGTAGCCGAGCAAGCGAGCCACCGAGCCGCCCAGCGGCCGAGCCGCCCAGCAGACGAGCCGCCCTGCCGCCGAGCCGCCTTACTAACGAGCCGCTGCTGTTCCTACCGGTGCGCCCCGGCCCTCCTTCCTCGGACTGGTGAGCTCACTCCCTACTAGGCCACTGCAGTCATGGCTACCCCCAGTGTCCCTACTTTTGATGCTGAGGGCCGTGCCGTTGACTTTGAAGTCTGGGTTGATGACCTCCAGCTGTTTCTCAAGTGCGATAGGGCAGACGGACTCTCTCTGTTCGATCTCACCTCTGGTGCCTCTCCTGCCCCGCCTGCTACTGCTGACAGCACTGATCGCTCACATTGGGCCACACGCGATGCTGCTGCTCGCCTTGCTATGCGTCGCCACCTACCGACCACAGAGCGTGCACACTTTAGCCAGTACAAGAGTGCTCTGACCTTGTACGGCGCTGTAGTTGCACGCTACTCTTCCCCTGCCACTGCTGCACTGAGCCGCCTCATGCTACCGTACCTCTTCCCTGACCTTGCTGCCTTTCCCACAGTCGCTGACCTCATTACGCACCTCCACACTAGTGACACTCGCTACCGCACTGCGCTTCCTGCTGAGTTCTGCGCCAAGAACCCCCCCCTCATGTACATCACCCTCTACTACATAGTCACCCGGCTCCGTGACTCTCTCTGCGTAGTTAGGGACCACTTCCTCTCAGTTTGCCCCACCACTCTCACCATTGACCTCCTCGAGAAGGCCCTCCTAGCAGCAGAGAAGAGCATAGTCGCTGTAGGAGCCTCTCGTGGTGACCCTCGCACCCCCGTCTTTGAGGGGTGTTCCCCCTCCCCCCTCTTGCCCTCTGTTGCCTCTGCTGCTGCGGCCGACCTTGTTGGTTTCGAGTCGGTCGGCGCTGCGTCTGCCCCGAGCGGGAGACGCCGCACCGGCAAGGGCAAGGGGGGCAAGGGCGCTGGAGGGGCTGGCTGGGGCGGTGGAGGTGGTGGTGGAGGCAGTGGAGGGGGTGGGGGTGGTGGTGGGAGTGGTGGCGGGGGTGGAGGTGTCGGTGGCAGCATTGGAGGCGGAGGAGGCGGCGGCGGAGGCGGGGGGAGCGGAGGCGGCGGAGGTGGTGGAGGCGGCGGAGGCAGCGGAGGTGGCGGAGGCGGCGGCGGCAGCAGTGGACCTGGTCGCAGGTCTGCGCAGAGGAGTGGCTCTCGTGGAGGTACGCGCCAGCAGCAGCAGCGCACTCATGAGACCCTATCCCCTCAGCAGCTTCGTGAGTGGTACGCTGCGCGTCAGCGCGGTGGGGGTACGGGTCCCTGCACCTACGTTCTCCGCACCGGCGACCGCGCTGGTGAGCAGTGCGGGGGCACGCACTCCACCCAGCGCTGCTTCGGCCGCTTGACGGACGCGTGCATCACCACTTTCCAGAAGCCTCTGAGATCCCTCGCTGGGGAGAGCTGTCTAGGGCGGGGGTTGCTATCTTTGATCTTGATTTTGATGCTATTCTTGCTGCCATGTATGCTGTTACTGATAGTGTTGAGGGTGACTGATACCTGTGTGTTCCGCCTGACCCGGGCATTGAGACTGCGGCTCTAGGTGCTGGTGAGGCTGGTGCTCTAGGTGCTAGCGCGTTTGCTGCCCCAGGTGCTGGTGAGTCTGCCCTCTCAGGTACCATGTCGGCTCAGGCCTTACACACCTTCACCCTTGATTCGGGTGCTTCCCGCTCCTTCTTTCGAGACCGCACCACACTTATGCCGCTTAGTCGGCCGGTTGCGGTCTCCCTGGCGGACCCCTCTGGGGGTCCTGTCCTTGCTCGCTTCTCCACTGTCTTACCGTGTCCGGCAGCCCCCTCTAGCACCTTGTCAGGTCTCTACCTCCCCTCGTTCTCTACGAACTTGGTGAGTGGCGCTGATCTACAGGATAGGGGGGTTGACAAGTTCAAACCTGCGAGTCAGCGGGTGACCCACTGCACGTATGCTCGAACAGGCAGACACTTGGCCACGTTCACCCGTCGGCCGGGATCGAGCCTGTACACCCTCACTACTGAGTCTCCTTCGACTGCTGAGCCTGGGGGTGCGGAGCCTGGGGGTGCGGAGCCTGGGGGCGCTGGGTCTCCTCGTGTGGCCGCCGGCGGTGCTTTATCGAGGCGGGAGCCACTCTCTCCACAGGAGCTGCGCAAGTGGTTTGCCCGGCGCTGGAGCTGGAGGTGCTACTGTTGCTACTGGTCCCGGAGGTGCTCGTACTAGTGGTGCTGGAGCTGCCGGGCCTGGGGATGCTGGTGGGGCTGCTGGCGTTGGTCCTGCTGGAGCTGCTGGCGGTCCTGGAGCTGCTGGTCCTGCTGGAGTTGGTGCTGCTAGAGCTTGAGCTGGTGGTGGTTCTGCTGGCGCTGGTGCGTCTGAGGGTGCTGGAGTTGGCGCAGTTGGAGCTGGAGGTGCTGCTGGCGCTGGTGCTGCCGCTGGGGGTACTTGTGGTGTCCCTAGTAGTTCTGGAGGCGCTGCGCGGCCGCGGCCGTACTTCGTTCCGCTCCTTGAGCAGGTTCTTGATCTCCTGCCTTTTACTGGTCCTGCTCCTCCGTTAGAGTGTCCACAGCCTGTCCAGTCGCTGTCACAGTTACAGCCCGCCTCCCCTCTACCTGCTCCTTCTCCCTACACTAGTCCTACTGGAGGTCTTGCTGAGCGTCTTGAGCCTGCGTCTCGTCCTGCGTCGCCTGTTCGCACTGTTCGCACTGGTCGTCGTGTTCCGCGTCCGCGTCCTCCTGCGGTTCCAGGCACACACCCGATGGCACTGCGTCCTTCCACTACTCCCCTTCGTGTCCCGTTGCCGTCTCCTCCAGAGTCCTCTCTTCCTGTCCTTCCTAACCCTGAGTCTGACTCTCTTTGTGGTGCCAGTCCTACTGTCACTCGTCTCCTGGCCACTGTTGTCACTGACTCTTCCTTTGAGTCCACTGCTGCGTCTGCCTTAGTGGCTGAGCTTGTCGACTTTGCTGCTCGCTGTCGTCTAGACTACGCCACTAGTCTTGTTGCTGAGTCCGAGTCTGTCTGTCCTCCGTCCGTCGGGGGTGGGTGTGCTCTTAGCACGGACGTCCTTGAGGACACGCAGGAGGAGTTCCAGTGTTTTGCTGCTACTTTGCCTCATCTCGTGTCCACGCTGATTGCCCCTGAGGGAGACCCGGATGCACCAGACATCCCGACTCCTCGATTGTACGCTGAGGCGATCGAGGGTCCCTACTCCTCTCAGTGGCAGTCAGCCATGGGCGCAGAGATGGCTTCCTGGAAGTCCACAGGCACCTACGTCGACATGGTTCCCCCACCTGGGGCGAACATCGTCAGTGGCATGTGGATTTTCAGGATGAAGCAGCCGCCGGGTTCTCCGTCTGTCTTCAAGGCGCGTTACGTGGCTCGTGGCTTCAATCAGCGGCAGGGAGTTGACTACTTTCAGACCTTCTCTCCCACCCCGAAGATGACCACTCTTTGGGTGCTGCTGCACATAGCCGCTCAGCGCGACTACGAGCTTCACTCTCTTGACTTCAGCACTGCTTTCCTGCAGGGCAGCCTGCACGAGGAGATCTGGCTTCGCCGCCCACCTGGCTTCACTGGGTCGTTTCCTCCTGGTACCCAGTGGAGCCTCCGGCAGCCAGTCTTTAATCTCCGCTAGGCGCCCCGTGAGTGGCACGACACACTGAGGACTACACTTGCGGCTCTTGGGTTTGCTCCTTCTACAGCCGACCCGTCGCTGTTTCTGCGCAGCGACACCTCTTTGCCGCCGTTCTACATCCTCGTGTACGTCGACGACTTGGTCTTTGCCACTGCTGACACTGCTGGACTCGCCCACGTGAACTCCGAGCTGCAGAAGAGACACACGTGCACAGACCTGGGTGAACTCCGCAGCTACCTTGGCTTGGAGATCACCCGGGACAGAGCACAGCGCACCATTACCCTGACTCAGTCACACATGGTGCAGCACGTCCTTCAGCGCTTAGGCTTCACGTACTCCTTGCCTCAGGCCACTCCTCTGTCTACTCGCCACTCGCTCTCAGCTCTGCCTTCGGATGAGTCCGTAGAGCCGAGTGGCCCGTACCCAAAGCTTGTTGGCTGCCTCATGTACCTTATGACCTGCACACGAACTGACCTTGCATACTCTCTTAGCATCTTGGCACGCTATGTTGCTCCTGGGAGACACCGACTAGAGCACATGGCTGCAGCGAAGAGGGTGTTGCGCTACTTGTGCAGTACATCGGGCATGGGGCTACTGCTTGGAGGGTGACGTCGAGTGGTCCTCACAGGTCACACAGACGCTTCTTGGGCTGATGACCAGCCGACACAGCGGTCGTCACAGGGTTACACCTTCAGCCTTGGCTCCGGCTTTGTTTCGTGGCGGTCTACCCGCTCGTCTTCTGTTCTCACCTCCAGCTGTGAGGCTGAGATCTACGCGGGGGCCATGGCTGCACAGGAGCTACGCTGGCTCACCTACCTGATGACTGACCTAGGAGAGCCGCCTCGTTCTCCTCCAGTTGTGTACGTAGACAACAAGGCCATGCTGGCCTTGTGTCGGGAGCACAGACTGGAGCACAGAACGAAGCACATTGCTCTTCGCTACTTCCTGGCTCGTGAGCAGCATCAGCGTTGTCAGCCTCGCCTCACCTACGTGGCCTCTAAGGCCAACACTGGTGATATCTTTACCAAGGCCCTTCCGCCTTGTGATCATCAGCGCTTCTGTGCTATGCTAGGTCTTGTGCCTACTTGGCCTCACTTGCTCACTTCTTGACCTTGCTTGTACTGTGATCTTTCTATACCTGCACTTGCTTGTTTACCTTTATATATATGATCTTGCATGTGAACTGGCCTTGTGGCCCTGCTCTTGTGCTCAGACTGTGTGGTGACGTTGTGATCCACCCTGAGCTTGCCTTGCTTTGCTTGACTGGTCTTGTGACCCCTTGTTCTCCCCCACTTTGCCTATGGGGGTGTGTCAGGCATATATGCTATAGTCTGTGTAGGCTGTAGTGGGGCAGTTCATATGGGGTACAACACTTGAGGGTTTACTACTTGTACTCCTCATTCTGCTCAATGCATTCATTCTCGTTTCTTATCAGCCTTGGGTTGCTGTGTTTGAGCGTGCGAAGCCTGTGGATGCTGAGCCTGAGTGCGTGGAGCCTGGGGGTGTTGAGCTAGGGGGTGCTGAGCCTGGGGGTACAGCGTCTACACTACGGGAGCCTCTCTCACCACAACAGCTGCGCGAGTGGTTTGGTCAGTGCACCCGCCTACGGAGTGGCGCTGTTGGAGCTGGAGGCCTTGGAGCTGCTAGTCCTAGAGGTGCTGGAGGTACTACTGAAACTGGAGGTAGTGGAGCTACTAGTCCTGGAGGTCCCTCTGGTGCCTCGCCCCAACGGTCTAGCCGGTGGGAGCCTCTCTCACCACAGCAGCTGCGTGAGTGGATTGCTAACGTAGTTGATGGCATGTGGATTTTGTCAGAATGTATTTGCTGTCTAGCCTGCAGTGGGGTACTCTGTAATGAGTATAACTCAATTCAGGGTGTTGTACTTGTATCCCAACTCTTGCTAGTGAAACCACTCATTCTCCTTTCAACTTTCTCGACACTGATCTCACATCCTAAAACTCGAACTCTCTCCTAAGCTTCCATGGCTCCTAAGCCTAAGTCACGCTAGTTATTTTAACATGGTATTCAGAGCAGGTGCCTTCCTGCTGCCTTCTTGCTTCCGCTGCCTATCGTCTTGCCGCGCGACTCTGGCGCACGGCGATTTTCTGCCCGCCGTGTGCTCGGGGCGCACGGCGGTTTTATGCCCGCCGTGCGCCCCGAGGCGCGCGGCGGGTTCCTACCTCGTCGCGGCGTCTTGGGGGCCCGCGCACTGGCCCCGACCGTCGCCTCGTCGCATCGTTTTGGGGGCCCGCACGCAGGTCCCTCCCATCGCCTCGTCGCGGCACTTTCGGGGCCCGCGAGCCGGCCCCTCCTGATGCCTCGTCGCGGTGCCTTAGGGGCCTGCGCGCGGTCCCCTCTCGTCGCCCGTCGAGGCACTTTCCTGGACCTGCGCGGCTCCCTAGCACGTCGCCTTTCAGGGCACAATGGGGGCCGCGCCCTTCCCCTCCCCTCCCTCCTACTTTCCGCTGCAGCAGCCGCCCCTGGAGCAGCCGCCGCTGCAGCAGCAGCCCCTGGAGCAGCAGCAGCAGCCCCAGCAGCAGCAGCCCCGGGACCAGCCGCTCCAGCAGCAGCAGCCCCTGGAGCAGCAACCCCAGCAGCAACAGCCCCTGGAGCGGCCACCCCAGCAGCAGCAGCCCCTGGAACAGCCGCTACTGCAGCAGCCGCCCCACCAGCAGCAGCCCCTGGAGCAGCAGCAGCAGCCCCAGCAGCAGCAGCCCCGGGACCAGCCGCCCCAGCAGCAGCCCCTGGAGCAGCAGCCCCAGCAGCAGCAGCCCCTGGAGCCGCCCCAGCAGCAGCAGCCCCGGGAGCAGCCGCCCCAGCAGCAGCCCCTGGAGCAGCAGCCCCAGCAGCAGCAGCCACTGGAGCAGCCGCCCCAGCAGCAGCTGCCCCTGGAGCGGCCACCCCAGCAGCAGCAGCCCCTGGAGCCGCCGCTACTGCAGCAGCCACCCCAGCAGCAGCAGCCCCTGGAGCAGCAGCAGCAGCCCCGGGAGCAGCCGCCCCAGCAGCAGCCCCTGGAGGAGCAGCCCCAGCAGCAGCAGCCACTAGAGCGGCCGCCCCAGCAGCAGCAGCCCGTGGAGCAGCCACCCCAGCAGCAGCAGCCCCTGGAGCCGCCCCAGCAGCAGCAGCCCCGGGAGCAGCCGCCCCAGCAGCAGCCCCAGCAGCAGCAGCCCCGGGACCAGCCGCCCCAGCAGCAGCAGCCCCTGGAGCGGCCACCCCAGCAGCAGCAGCCCCTGGAGCAGCCGCTACTGCAGCAGCCGCCCCACCAGCAGCAGCCCCTGGAGCAGCACCAGCAGCCCCGGGATCAGCCGCCCCAACAGCAGCCCCTGGAGCAGCAGCCCCAGCAGCAGCAGCCCTTGGAGCCGCCCCAGCAGCAGCAGCCCTGGGAGTAGCCGCCCCAGCAGCAGCCCCTGGAGCAGCAGCCCCAGCAGCAGCAGCCTTTGGAGCAGCCGCCCCAGCAGCAGCTGCCCCTGGAGCGGCCACCCCAGCAGCAGCAGCCCCTGGAGCCGCCGCTACTGTAGCAGCCACCCCAGCAGCAGCAGCCCCTGGAGCAGCAGCAGCAGCCCCAGCAGCAGCAGCCCCGGGAGCAGCCGCCCCAGCAGCAGCCCCTGGAGCAGCAGCCCCAGCAGCAGCAGCCACTGGAGCAGCCGCCCCAGCAGCAGCAGCCTCTGGAGCCGCCCTAGCAGCAGCAGCCCCGGGAGCAGCCGCCCCAGCAGCAGCCCCTGGAGCAGCAGCCCCAGCAGCAGCAGCCACTAGAGCAGCCGCCACTGCAGCAGCAGCCCCTGGAGCAACGGCCGCTGCAGCAGCCGCCCCTGGCCCCTGCAGCAGCCGCTCCTGGACCCGGTGCAGCCGTGGGGGGGTGGGTGTGGGGGTGATAGTTGTGGGGGTGTCGATTGTGCGTGCCGTCCCCTCCTCCTCCTCCTCCTTCGTCTCCCACTGCTGCAGCTCTCGCTGAGGGGGGTGGATGTGTGGGAGTCTGGGGTTTAGGGTTTAAGGGGGTTCTGTGGGTGTAGGGCTAGGGTTTGAGCAGGGGGTGTGTGAGAGGGGTGTTGGGCAGCTGGGGGAGGTTGAGTGGAGGCAGCAATCTTGTCGTCTGCAGCAGCAGCAGTCCGGAGGCTACAATCTCCGGTAGTCGCCAGTCGCCCGTGGGTCCGTTGCTCGTCTGCCGCTACTTTTAGCCGCGGGGCCAGTTACTCCAGTAGTCTGG